ACCCGGGAATTAAAAGCAATTTTAGACTGTTAGATGATCTCTTCTGTACCCTTTGCATTCGTTTGACTTCACTGTAGTTTAACTAGACTCTGCACGCAGGGTATCTCTTCTGTAATCAAGGTGATGTTGGTACACTTCCGCCGTTAGAAAAACAAAGACTAAGACAAAGACTATATAGCAATTAATCCTTTTGTAATTATTAAATGTTAGATTCTTATTATTTTGTTGGACAATGTTCAGACTTCTGACCAAGATTAAATCATTTATGTTTGTATTTAAAAATAGTATTTCAATCAGACAGACGTTCTAATGAGTTAGAAAAATACATTTGTCCATTTCCTCTCAAGAAGTTTTCAAAGGTAATCAAGTCGATTTGTTTGAGTGTTTAGCATTGTTTTTCATAACTTGACGCTTCCATGAACAGAATGACTTTGAAATGAGTTTTTATAATTTTAGCTTTTATACGGACATGCTTATTGTATATTTCTATATGAACGTTGTAGTTATGTGATGTAACATCGCCCCCCCCCAATTACAGGTATACAAATTTTGGTCGGAATGCATTAACTTGCAATTAAAAGCAATTTTAGACTGTTAGATGATCTCTTATGTAATCTAGGTGATGTTGGTACACTTCCGCATTTAAGAAAACAAAGACTAAAACAAAGAGAACTAAGCAATTAATCCTTTTGTTATCATTAAATGTTAGATTCTCATTTTTTATTGGACAATATTAAGACTTCTGTCTCCGATTGTTATGCAGGTATGTGTATAAAATCATGTGAACAACATTATCGTGGAAACTCCCATATTCATTCTCATAATGTCTTACAGCTATTTCGCAAATGACATAATCCTAAACAACATATGGAAATAATAGTGCAGAACTGAGCGAAAAGAAAGGTGGAACAAATCAGATTAAGATATTTTATTTTTGAAATGCACAGAGGGCAAAAGTTAAAGGCGTTGTGAAATAGATCGTGCTTTTATATGATCCCCTTCTATAGTACCCTACCCTTTGCATTCGTCCGACTTCACTTCTCTAATGAGAGTTTCGTCTTCTCGTAGTTTATAATTAGACTCTGCACGCAGCGTAATAGTTCCCCTATTATCCATGTTCATGTTCTCATTTGATTTTTCATCAGTTATGACTTGGTAACATTTGTTCCGATTTTCATTACGGCGCCCGGCCGATTGAGTATTTTGTTCAGAATTGAATACAATTTTGAACAAAATACTCAACGGCCGGGCGCCGGTGCTGAAAATCTGAGCAAATGTGACCACGGCATTATAAAAGCATACTCTTTAATACACGAACAGATTCAAAATGAGACTTTATCTATCAGAGAAATAAAAATGGAAAATTTGTATTCTGAAAATACTAACTGATGCATTGGTTAGTATTAAATATTAAGTTTTACAGTCGGAAACCTCAAGGGGCGGGAAATTTGATTAAACAAAACGCCGGATTAATATGTGGACAACTTGCAAATGAAATGTAAGTAACATGACAGAACGAGTATGTACGTCCAATAAATACTTTTATAGTTTTAATGTGCATTCAAAGGACCCCGTTTGTAAAATTGATAGAAATGAATAGTTTTATTACCGGAAAAAACTGAGAAATATCTACCCGATTCGCCAGAATAGTCATCATCATATCAGTGCGAAAAATTAGCTATATTTATTTTCTATGCGATATACACCTGATATTGATAGCCTTCCACGATCATGGTCCGTTGACATCATCAACCTTGTGATTTGCCATAAGTGATTAACCAACATTTTAAAACAATTTAAAGTCGGGGTTGACGTTTCTTGACTTTTCAGACTGACATCCAAACAAAACATAATTTGAAAATAAAAGGCATAAAATGGCCATTAAAAGTACATTTTTGAACAAAAGTATCAACTTATATTACACTGCACGCAAATACAAAGTGAAAAGAACGTCTTCCCGGAGATTGAAATACGGATCGGTAAGTCAACAAATCTAACTGTTAAATAAACAAGCTTAGCCTATGTCTGCGATTGTTTGTCTGAGTGGCCAGATGTTATCCGTTTCGGATAATAAATTTCTGAGAATACTACTGATATCTAGAATACATCTTCCGTGATATTTTTCATAAAACTACCCTTTGCATTCGTTTGACTTCACTAAAAGAGAGCTTCGTCTTAGTGTAGTTTAACTAGACTCTGCACGCAGGGTATCGTAAAACAGGCATCTTAGCTGCAATTTTGAATAATAGCGTAATTCATAGCACAATATAAATTAACCCGCCTCTGTTTAATTCAAATATGCATTACCCTTAAGAATCATATACTTAGACACCTTTTCATTCTTGATTCGAATTTTTATCTTGTCTTCATCTAAATTTGTGGATTAATAACAGTTTTTAGTATACAAATTAAACATACAAAATGTAGCGTATTGATTACACGTTACAGTGGCGTAGCCAGCTTTCAGTCGGGGGGAAGGGGGGGGGGGGGGGGGGGGGGGGGGTGCGATCGTGGCATAAAAAATGTTTTTGAAGATTTGTTTTGAATTTTACAAAAATTGGTGCAACTTCGTTCAAAATCGAGCTAGAAGCTTCAAATAAAAAGCATTTTAAGACTTTTTTCTTCTACCTAATAGTTCTATTTTCATTGGTTATGGAGGGATCGCACACATCGCATCCCCCTGGCTACGCCTATGCGCTATATTAATATAACAAGGTTATCATATCATGCCAATAGTTATATGGTTAACTAATAATAACACAAAATAATAATACACGATAATTAAAAAAATAAACCTCGGTATTCGGGCCTAAAATCCAAGGATACGTGTACCATTACTTAAAGGGTGACGCATATCGTTTAGCAAATCGAACGCTCGTTTCTGGTGTTGCTCACCGTTTAGTATAAAAGGCCCGATCCCGGAATAATACTCAAGGGTTCACAGGCTCGAGGTCGTTGTGTCAACACCTCTAACTGTTATATAGCATAAGTATATTATAGATCGTCACACATTTATAAAAGGGTGATTTTTATTTTGACAAATCAATTCCACATTTATGGGTGAAGTTTCAGGATCTTCTATTTGTGTATAATAAGGAAAATTGACATCTAAATTTCCCCATAACGTAAAAACACACAGCTTGGCATATGAAATATCCTACAAATGAAACAAAGCAGTTCTAATACAAGGATTTATATTGGCTGTTGTACATATTCTTTGAACGCAATCACTCTATGGATAATGTTTTTAAAATCATTATAAACGGATTACTTTATCTCAAAGACAATTTAAACTGGATTTTACAGAACTCCCCTTATTTCTTAAAAATGGACTGATCCAGGAGCCGCCATATTGTTTTTATACGGGAAGCTTATCGGAACCCTTTAAAGGGACCCAACACCATGGTCACATGATCAGTCGTGTGGAGGTAAGCTCCCAGTTGAAATAAAATCACTGTCCTCCTTTGGTTTCTGTGAAAAGTAGCTAATACCCTCATGTATTGGTCAGTTTGTGTGTCACACGACTAATCCCCACCATATGCTTCATTCAACATATTTTATGCTATTGAGCTGCATATATAAACAGTACTTTGCAACTAAGGTCATACAGTATACTTACCCCTTGCAAATTGTAATTTATTGAATTCACAGTAAACCCATCAATTTTTAAGAAAACAAAGAATATTGTTCTCATGGATCTATTATTTATGTTAGACTAACTATGAAAATATAAATATGAAATAATATGTTAGCTTGAAGTCATATATAAGATGAAAATATACTTGTGTTCATGATTTGCATTTTTCCAAAGGGAATATTCCCATGTAAGTAAATACAGATGCAATATATAATTTATATGTATATCTATGTCATCTGTCTATACATGCGCGTATAGCCTAGTGTTACATGTGAACAAGATGGTTCTGGAAAGAAATGAGCGTGGCAGATTTGCTAAAATGCCACATACACCACAAAAGCAAGACCAATTTGAAAGTAAGTTCATTATTCTCAAGGGTACACTTCAAGTGAAAGCTACATTGCTACAGGGTGGCCTATCATTCTGAGACAAATGTATTATCCAACGATTGTGATTTTCGAAGCTAAAATATGATATCTTGAGCAGATGGAAATACATTCCCATGAGATATGTATATATAGTCAAAAGTGATAACTATTTATTGAGTGTAATGAAATGTATCCTTCGCTAACTGCTTTTGTTTGAGATAATTATCATGAAATGTTTTTAAATCAATTTTTATGTGTGTCATTGATTCTAATCCACCCTGTAGTCTGGTGTTTATAGAGCATTGCGACTCGTACAACTTATTCTCACAAATATCAAACCTCATTTACTAATTAATTTTTTGTGTGAATATGAAGAGTCCAAGCATTGCTTTTTTATGTTTATTGTATAGCTATATTTAGCCTTGATATCCATGATTTTTTAAAACAAAATCTCACCGTTAGATTTCGGGCTATTCATGTTTACTCATTTGTCTAATTGGAAAACAATGCAAATCTCATTTTTTCAAAGGAAAAAAATTGAAATTCTAAGACGGTGAAAAATCATTAAAAAATACACAGATTCAGAATCCGGCAAGCATTTTCCCTTATTCCTCTCCGTTAAGAAGTTTTGCAAGGTGTTGGATTCCTTTAAGTGTAAGCTGCAATACCATATCGAATACCTGTACCATTACTCAATATTAAATCCCACTTGGGTAGCAACACAATAGAATTTGCTGTGGTTTATTTTTAAGAATGTATGGTTTTATCAAAAGGAAAGTGCATTATTTTTCTATTGTTTTTAAAGAATGTACACTTGGCAAGCTATCAAAAACAAGTGAGACATAAATGACCATTGACAGTTTTTGATAGTTTTCATTCCCTAAAAACAATATACAAAAATACATGTACCCTTCTCTTGTTACTGTGCATTCTTTAGAATAAAACAATTTATCAATTTTTGTTGCTATCTACATCATTGATTTTATCTTACTTACAAATATTCTGCTGTATTCAAATTCAATGTTCTGGACTGGACAGTCGCCTGTAGTGCACTGAAGCTAGACTAATTATAGCCCACTCAGTCACTTAGATCAACTCACACTCATGAGGTCAATGCAACCAACTCTTTTTGTTGTTACAATTAATTGGCTACACATTTTAACCAATAAGAGCCAGGGTCATTGTGAGCCTGGCAAAATTCACAGTTTGAATAGTCAATACAAAAGAAATCACATTTTTCCGGATTAAAGACCTTTTAACTGTAGTATAATAGACCCTTTGCCTGTGATAAGAGTCTGTGTGATTTAAGTAAGATAAAGCATTCGAATTCGATTTGATAAGAAATAACAACCTCAGGCCTTCGGCCTTCGGTGTATTATTTCTTATAAATTCTCATTCTTATGCTTTATCCAGTACATAACCACTAGTAAGACCATAATAACAAGCTTAATAACTAGCTTATCGCAAATTATTCCATACGATTTTGTCTTGTGAATACTTTTAAACTACAGGATTTACAATTTGGATTAGTGACATTGACCTCATAGAATTTATATAGCAACGGATTTATTATACAATTCGACAAGGAAAGAATATATATCAAGTACTACAACGTATTTATTAACACCATTCGTTCATTTGGATTATAAATAACAGAAAAAAGGGAAATCAGTCAATTTGATGGATTTCAACATATATTATTGTCAATATGCTTAATAGAACAAAATTGCTTGTGTTACTTTCGCTCTTAAATACATTTGTCTTTCTATACGTGGGCCAAAACTATTTAATCAGGTTCAAGATGCAACCAAAGGCGGGTATACTCGAACTTAGACCAAATACAATAGCCACTGTACCTGAATTAAGGCTGGATAGTGCAACGACCAATTCTCCTACACTTTACAAGAAAACAACAACCAGTATGATCAGTACGCATACGCTTTATAAGAATACAACTACCAGTGTACCCAAACTTAAACTAAATACAACTACCAGTACTCAAAAACTTAAGCAGAATGCTACAGTCAGTATTCCCAAACTTAAGCTGAATACAAGGACCAGCACTCCAAAACTTTACGAAAATATAACAACCAGTATACCCAAACTTAGGCTGAATACAACTACAAATACTCAAAAACTTAAGCAGAATGCAACAGTCGGTATACCCAAACTTAAGGTGAATACAACGATAAGTATACTTAAACTTTACCAAAATACAACAACCAGTATACCCAAACTTAGGCTGAATACAACTACAAATACTCAAAAACTTAAGCAAAATGCAACAGTCGGTATACCCAAACTTAAGGCGAATACAACGATAAGTATACTTAAACTTTACCAAAATACAACAACCAGTATACCCAAACTTAGGCTGAATACAGTTACAAGTATACCCAAACTTGAATTGAAGCCAGTAACCAGTACACCCAAGCTGAATACAACTCAGATTTGTCCAGAAGTCACAAAATACTTAGGTAAGACCTTTATGTTCTGTATAAAATATAGAAATCGTTCCGTCACCAAAAAAATGTACTGCAGGTCAAATTATATTTGAGTAGTATCACGCCTAGCCATCGACAACGTAGAGGGACAAAATGTACCGTTGTACACTATAGATGTGCGGTGTCACTATTAACAGATTTGAAGCAAAAATAATGCAGGTGTGATGTAGGTTTTAAAAAATAATCTTGGGAATGCTTGAAAGATTTCATGTTTGATTTCGCGTGTTCGCTTTGGAAGATTTTTTGCTTTCTGTTACGTTAAAGATTTTCGAACAATGATTAATTTCCTTGATCATTTTTCCCCTTGTCGCCCAAAAGTGTCGATTATTTTAAATTCATCTGACCCCCTGTCTGTTAGTGTTATGAAAAATACGTTGCCTACATTGGGATTAACTGTGAATTGAGTAAGTTCAATGGGACAACGTACATTCGAGTTCATTCATATTCTCATAAAAATATTTGACACTCTTAGACGACAGGGGAGGAAATGATCAAAGGAAATGTGTTAAAAAACAACATTTTCCAACCGACCAATTAAATGGGAAGATTGACTACGAAAAAACGATCGAAAATTGATGGTTAGGCGTGAGTATGGGCATGTAATGATATCAGATATGTTGATATTGAATATATAGAGGTTATTTGATGGGACGTTTTTGATACAGGGTATATCTGAGGGAAATACAATATACCAACCCGAGGGACTGTATGGACCGAGGGAAATACCCTGTATCAAAAATCCAGCATCTAATAACTGATTTATTCTATACATAGATTACGATCTAGAGTCAAGTCCCCTGGCTCAGAATCTACTCTCTGAATTTTTGACGTCGTATATCTGATAAGCGGGTGATATCAGCGGGCGATTATATATCACCCGCTGATATCACCCACTCACTTCAGATATAAAGTATATTCCTGCATGTATTGCACCTTCTATTTTTTTTAATGAATATTATGAAAAGGTAAATCATTTTGACTTGACTGTCTGTTCTATATATCGATATTGCTTTAGTGACATATGTGCATATTTATTAATTGTTTCTTTCCGTAGCTTGTTTTCATCTTTACAAAGTTTCTTGACCTAATAGCAAACACACCCGAGATTTTAAAATGAAGTCATTCACCAGCTGTTTTATAATTGAGTTACTTGTTTTTCTAGAACAGATCGAATTGGATTTGTTTTCTCGCTTCAGTTTCAACTGTATATTACGTGAACCTATAGAAGTACAGGGCGTTCAATAAGTACTGATAGAAATGCTGTAACTTTTGTAATTTTTAATATTTTAACTTTTCTACTGTACATTGTTGAGTACCCTCAATTTATGAGAGGCAAGACATGTCTGAGACGTGTACATGTAGGGCTACGACCAAGGCTGAATTAATACTACCCTGGAATAAACTTCATATTGAAAATCAAGCATGAAACAACCTTTATCTCCCGCTATGTATCTCCCTCTCAAATATTCCCGGGAAAAAGTTTTTGTTTAGTGTAGAAAAATTTCACTTTTGTGTATAAATGATATGTAATGCCAATGTAATGATGTTTTCGTGCACGCAGTTTCTTGTAAGCTTTTGCTCCAAAATCTTGGTCGTTCAATATTTTAGGACCGCTTAGCCTGGGCTAGCTCTGTAAGAAAGGGCTTCAGTACACGTACTGTCAGCTGTATTACAGTGTCACTTGTCATAGGATAAATTAGTTATGTGATGGTCCATTTTGAAAATGGGGTGTATCACTCGGAAAATAATATATTTTATCTCGGACCCTCCAGGCCCTCTGTTATGTATTTCCCTTAGGATATACCCCACATCTTAAACCTCCCATAAAATAATTTCCTATTTCCCATGATCATTAATCAGTGAGGTCCAACATTTAGGTTATATATATTTTGCAAGTGGATCCAAGAGTCAAAGTGGGCGAGTCCATTATTTTGCAGGGGTGGCAAGATACACACATTCCAATTTCCATTAATCGATTTACTAAAATCACTGGCTGGAATCGGTGTTCACAATACATAGATGTTCAATAGAGTAGACTCATGTGTTCACTGGGTACAGATCTTCACTAAAGAGGTGTTCATTATGACAGTTTTACTGTACTGAAATCACTCGCCGGGAATTCACAACCAAAATTGAAATGTGTGTATCCTGCCACCCCTGCAAAATAATGGATCCGCCCACTTGGTCTCTTGGATCCACTTGCAAAATATGTATAACCCAACATTTAAGTATTATCATGAATTTTCGAAAGGTATTTAAACGCCAGTGAATGTTTCTAACTTCATTGAATACATTTGTTAATAATGGTCCCCCAAAGGTGCTGTTCCTAGTATAACTATGAAGAGCGTTTTTTGCCAGTTGAATTTCAAGTTTTAAATTTTCCACTACTGGTACATCAGTAGTTTTTAAAGAGGTCAATGGAAAAATACAATTCTAGCTAGTATCAAAGAATGACTGGAATCATGGTGATAATTACACAATTGATCAACTTGAAATCTGATTGATTTTATTTCAAATATCAGCGCATTGTATACCATGGATAAAACAGTGACTGCATCTCGTCATTTACAGTATTTATTTGATCGTATTCTTCTTCTCTGTTTTTCAGTTGGACTGCAGAATGTGTCAAAGTTATTAAGCTCAATATCCATGGAAAAACATATTCCTTACGATGTACAAAACGGCGGACTGAGTTTCCCACATGTTTGCAAAGCCCGTCAGAAGGTGGCGATAATCGTACCTTACAGAAACCGCCCTGCACAACTGGATATATTTCTGAGATTCATGCATAATTTTCTGAGGAGGCAGCTGTTAGAATATAGGATCATTATAGTTGACCAAGTATGATATTTAAGTTAAATAAAGCGTGATACAGTAAAACCTGTGTATCCGAACACTTCCAACTCTGAAGACTTTTTTCGGTCTCGTTTTTTCCTCCCATTGAATCCCATATGTTCAAAAAGGTGACTGGTTATCTCAACCCCAAGTCAACTCAATCCAGTTAAACTCAACCCCAAGTCAACCTAACCCCAGAAGAACTCAATCAATTAAAAGTAATCCCCAAGTCAACCCAACGCTGTCAAACTGAGCCCCAGTAAAACTCAATCCCATTGATTTCTGCAATTGTCTTTAGTTCTCTAGTTCATTTGCTTTGATAATCTAGCATTTTGCATATTTGAAAGTTAAACACAGATTTGTCATGGTATCAACACTTTTGGAAAAGCCTTGAATGGTCTCACTCATGGGGTTTTGTAGCATGACTAAATTTATTTGAATTTGATTTTCAATTGCAAATTGCTGGAATGACATAAAGCTACGTGGTCAAAAGGACTATAAATGTTTATTGAGAATGTGTTCACATTTCCTCAAATTCCAGAATCTTGTGAATGCAAAAACCTCGAAATGTGAGCACCTCCTAATCCTTACCCGAACGTTTTAGCCTGTCCAAATGGAGTTATATGATTAGACAGGTTTTACTGTACTTGGTTTGGTGTTCGTTTATTATAATCAGACAGCACATACTGCCATTCATATTGTTACACTCCTGAATAAACGTGATTAAATTGTTGAAAATGAATAGATATCTACATAACATACAGGGTGGTCCAATCTCGTATTTTAAAAATAAATATTGATTTTATTTATGAAAACATGTCATATTATATACCAGTGGATAGGGAATTTACTTATCTTTAATTTGGTATATCATAAGGTCAAATTTATTATGTCTGTCAACCAGCGTCCATGATATAAATTACGTCATTTTTGTTTCAAAACGGGTTTTCCAAAACGTGCTTATTTAGCCCTCAATTTTGGACTAACATGATCAATACCATCATTGATATGCTGTTGAGACTTTGAATGTCACTTCTTAATAATTTTGTCCTTAAACAGGCAATGCGCCTATTTTTGAAGGAAAAGGGACAAAATATTATTTGAGACGTGTCACTCACACAGTCAATCAAATATGATAAAAACTTTAATTCAGGATAATACTGAAGTGAAAAAAATTACTCGCATAAAAACATCATTTGAAGTTCAGAGATTGAAAAAAGTGAATTTCCACTTGTGTATGTGTCTGTTTTAAATAACTCTTGGATTAAAAGATGACGTATGCCTGAAAATCCTGTCAAAAATGAATGGATAATTAATGCAAACAACAATGCCATCTTTCTATGGCATATATAAATTGATAGATCAAAAATATTTTTTCATGATCTAGAGCCTTGTTTTGTGTCAAAAGAAAGATCGGGTACTTATTAATCCATTTGAAATACTATGAAGATCAAAAGTGAGATTTCATTTACGCACTTTGTCCCTTTAAGGATTCATGGCACACCAATTCTGTTAGTTCTCCCCATACGTGGTATTCGCAGACGTTGGGTGATAGGGTGATCTGAGGAGGCAGTGATTAAGAGGGAATGAATCTAGGCATATTTTCTTTTAAACATTTGACTCTCTTGGTATATATGGCTTGGAACCCTATCTTGTTGGAAAAGGTAATGATTCGAAAATGACCTCATGTCAGGACGCATGGTATAAAAACAACGTAATTGGATCATCCGATGCTAAAGTCTGTGGCCACCACCAATTGTAAGAACTAACAGCGTTGGTTGACCATGATCCCATTACATCTACTCAGTTATACTTATGCGTTATACTTTGGGAATTGTTGAGAAGTGGAATTCATAGTCTCAACAGCATATCAATGATGCTCTTGACCAGTTTAGGCCAAAATTGCGGGCATTAATTGATCAAAATGGTGGACATATTGAACGTCTGTTTATGTTAATAAAGTTGACAAAAAACTCGGTTAATCAGTATTTATTTTTGAACTACAAGTGTCCCATTTTTAGACCACCCTGTATAAAGTATGGAAACACCCGTTTTAAGTATACACGTCTTTTTAACTCTAAATCAAAGCTGTTTCATTATTATAGGTCGATGACACACCATTCAACAGGGGAATGTTGTTGAATATAGGTGCTATAGAGGCTGCGAAACTTTACAAGTTTGACTGTCTCATTTTCCATGATGTTGACTTACTCCCGGAGAATGACTACAATAGTTACACGTGTGTCAACAATGCGGCTCTCCATCTTTCAGTGCTTGTTAATAAACATGGCTACAGGTATATCGTTTCTTAATTCTAACAGTATCTCCTGATAGAGTTGGATCAGCTAATTAAAATCAATATACTATGAGGTTATATAATGGTTCTTTCTGTATATCGTGTTTATACTCGAGTGAGTATATGATATATTCACAAGTGAGCGTAGCGAACGAGTGAATATATTATATTCTCACGAGAGTATAAAATGCACGATATACAGAATGAACCATTATATAATCTTATTATGCCACTCTAAGTTCAATTACAGTTAAAACTGGTCCTCCGTACTTGAATCTTAAAGATCTAATAGCAAAGGTTTTGCAAAAATAAATCAATGCAGTGTAAAACAAATGTATGTATAATGAAGAAATAAATATTTAATGAAAAAAATAGATATGTGTTTGTAATATTGGTATTAACTTAAGATTAAAAAGTGTCACTATCTCTTTCATTTTTCAACAAATATAGGCTCACGTGACATATGACGCGGGGCAGTCAATTTTGATCTATCGTAGACCATATCAGTATCAAACTGCCGATATTTCAACCTCGTCTTGCGAGGCCATTTTTATTTGAAACATCTTGAATTTGGTGTCAAAATAAAGCTGGTCACGCCCACTTTCAGAGTTATCAATGAATCATTTACTACGACTACTATATTCATTTAGGAGGCGTGTAAAGTTAACCAATCAGAAAGACAATTGCTCCATATATGACAGTTCATTAACATATTCAGTGTTTACTATTGTTTTTCGCGTCATGACAACACGAGTAGTAACCAATCAAAATGCCGTATTTTATCACGTGAGTTCAGAGTGACATGCACGACATGTAAGTTTAGTCTGAGCTGATCGCGATGTTGAACAATTTCTTCTCGGAATTTGTCCAGAGAAATCAGCGATTCTAAATTAAGGTAGGATCTCCCATTTCTTCCTGTACAAGTTTTAACTTATCTCTATCGAATCCTAAAGTTTTGGATGAAGATATGAAGCATACGTTTAAAAACGAAGCGATTAATTTGACGATCTGATTTTGCAATTTGCAATGGCCAATTTACTGCAAGTCTGCGTGTATTTGACAAGAGATAGGGCCAAGTCTTGTATCCGAATGCTTGTTAAGCCACTCAAAAACAAGATCCATATTTTCTAAATTTGATAACTTTGCAGAGAGCCCGTTTTCATAACCTGTTTTCCGTGTCTAAATTCAAACTGAGTAGGATTATAGGATCGCTGGGATTCTCAGTCAATGGCAACGGGTCTTCATTCCAGAACGCACATTTTTTTAGTTGATTCTCCGTCATAGTACTTGTCTAAAGTCCATATCTGCTCTTTTACTGGCATACTTGGACATATTTCCCCTCCTTAAATTGTCCTCCTTAAATAACACCCTCTCGCCGATTTATATATAGCCATTTCCCAGAACCCGGGAGTCAGAATCGCTGATGTTTGCAATATTGAACACGTTGAAATATGTACTGTAATATCTGTAATACTAGGCATTGCCTGCTACGCGTAAGGGTCACGTGACTAGCGCGATACAGGAAAAATGGGGAATTTCGAAACAACAATTTTTGGGCACTTTTATTGCAAATTTCAGGTATTTATAAGTGTTTGTGGTATAAAATATAATCCACAGACATAAATGAACATCCAAACTACATATTTTATTACGTTTTGGAGCCTTTTTTGCTTTTAAAATGACATCTTTAAAAGAACACAACCACCATATAAATTTGCATTGGCTCTTATGTGCCGCTATGTCGCTATTTATTGGCCTATGATAATATCGTACATACAAACTCCGCATACACAATGACCCTTTGGGCAGCACCTCGGAGGTGTCCCGGACTTATGATCGGATCATAATCCTGGCATACAAAGCCATATATCATTAATATTCTGTAATCAACTTCTAAATCCCTCAGAGGTTAACGTTTTATATCAAATATTGTGCAGATGCCCCAGAGGCAAAATTCAATAATAGTCCAATGACATGATCTTAATCCCGGCATTTAAAGCCATATCATTAATATTATTTTATAATTTTTCTAAAATGGATTATTCCTCAGAGGTAAACTTATAATATAAAACAATTCTTATCTACAGATGCCCCGGAGGCAAAATTCAATAATATTACACAATGACCCTTTGGGCAGCACCTCGGAGGTGTCCCGGACTTATGATCGGATCATAATCCTGGCATACAAAGCCATACATCATTAATATTCTGTAATCAACTTCTGAATACCTCAGAGGTTAACGTTTTATATGAAATATATATCATATTTTCTAACTTCTAAAGTGGATTATTCCTCAGAGGTAAACAGTCATATAATATAAAAACAATATTTATCTACAGATGCCCCGGAGGCAAAATTCAATAATAGTCCAATGATCTTAATCCTGGCATATGAATCCATATTTTGTTAATATTATATTATCAACTTCTAAAGTACACATCCCTCGGAGGTAAACTTTTAATATTAAATATTACTTATGCACAGATGCCCCGATGGGCAAACTTAAATAATAGTTCAATTGATCTGATCATAATCCTGGCATACAAAACATTTTGTAAATATTATATTTTCAACTTCTAAAGTAGATTATTCCTCAGAGGTAAACTTTTAATATTAGACAATCCTTATCTACATATGCCCCGGAGGCAAAATTCAATAATAGTCCAATGATCTGATCATAATCCTGGCATATATTAAGATTCTATTAACTTCTAAAGTACGTGTTCTCCAGAGGTAAACTTATAATACCAAATATTCCTTATCTCCAGATGCTCCTGAGGCAAAAACTCCATAATAGTCCATTATTGATTCATGGGACTTAATTCTTTTGACAAATTTCAAAATGAAATCATTATTTAGCCTCGGAGGCAAATATCTCAAATCTTATAATGTATAAATAGTAATCTTTTATAGCTCCACAAAGGTCTCAGAGACGAGTCTCGTATGAAATTATAAATAATCAAATATATGGTCACTCCTTGCCCAAACATTAAACTCGTTCCATATGCCTCGGAGGCAAAGCTTTTTATCCAGCTTTTTATCTCAGTTATGAATTATTGTAAATAATTTACATTTTATATTCATGTGGTTTCGGAAACCTTGCTTACATACTCTGTATACAATTTCTTAGTATTATATTTACAGTACTTATGCCCTGTAGGCTAATAATTGAATTCTTTGATGCCAACCTCGCGGCGACCCCTTTTGCAAAGTGCGAAAGGTACCTTGTACATTTTGTTTTTTATATACAAGGAGGTCCATCTACCCCTAAGATGAAATTGGCGTTTGTAGGATTTAAGAATTCGAAACACACAATTTACTTAAAACAAAAACTATTTCTAACTTTATATCAAAGTAAAAATACATTTGACAAAATATTTTAAAACAGTTAACCTTAAAGTTGTTTGGTAAAAATGCTGCCGTGTTAGCGTCACAAAGCCGAATGACTCAAAACCTATTTCCTAAACATAAATCACTCATAACTCATTCAATCAATACCACCGTTTGTCGTCACTTAAATAGAACAGAACATACTCAAATATACACCCCCGTAACAAACTATAGAACACCTTCTCCAAATCTGATATCAAAACAGTGTGAAGTACCTGTATTAAATAATTTTCAAACTTATTCGCTACGCTCAATCGTTAGAAAATATCATTGATTCGAACACAATCATAACAATTAAAAACCATAAAAATATCCCATTGACAGCCAACTCAATAATGGTGATGTTGATTTATGACGTCACTTGATTCTAGGAAATCATGATTTTTTTTCATTATCTCCCAGAATGCACTTCTACAGTGGTATACGCTGGAGTGTATACGGAGGAGTTGTATACGATGACGATATACCACTCTCCACTCTATATCGTTGTTATAGACCCATGTTATACAACTGTAATTGGACTTAGAGTGGTATAAAGTATGATACATGCGTATTTAAATGAATAAAACTAGAATATAAAATTGAGATGATGAAGGTAAACTTAGGGGAGAGCGGGGTAAGACGGAACGAGGGGTAAGACGGAACGATGGCTTTTAAACAGAAACTGTTTAAAAATGGTCGCTGAAGTTAACTTTTTTTGAAAATATATCACGTAATCTTTCTATTCAACTGCCAATTCCTCGTCGGCTGCAAGTAATAATTTTAATAAGGGTAGATATATCATTTTTTATCCATTCTTATAACATTTCATATGGTTTTGATCGCCTGTAGAATCAAAAACATACGTGTAATACATAGAAAATTATATATTTCTAAATAGACAATTCAAAAACCTGTAATTTAAGAAAAATTATAGCTTTTAGCTGTCTCATTTTGATAGCAGACGACATTTTGTAGATTCACGTGGTGGTGGGGTAAGACGGAACAGTCGTTCCGTCTTACCCCATTTTCATTTTCAAGGTCAAGGTCATTCCAAGGCCAAAGGTCATTATCTAGGTATTTGGTGATTTAAGGGTCATTGGGGCTGTTGTTAACCTCTGTGACCCATGATTAAGGTCATTCCAAGGTCAAAGGTCAGTATCTAGGTATTCACTTTTTAATACCTATGGGGCTGCTGTGACCCTTGGCAACTCATAATAACGTGACCTGACGTCAAGGTCAAGGCTTATGAGCCAAGGTCATCTCAAGGTCAAAGGTCAATATTTAGGTTTTTGGTGTTTCAAGGACCTTGGAGGCTGTGACCCTTGGCGACCCATGATTAAGTGACATGAGGTCAATGTCATTCCACTTATTTGGAAACTTTTCATGTGTTAATGCAAAGAGAAAACGTTTCCTACCTAGTGTTGATCTGTGTATGAGCATAGTCGACAGGTAAATCTTTATGTTAACTTTTCTTAGACTTAAAATATGATAAACAGTGTACCATCTTTACATGGGTAGCAAGTGCTTTTTGGAAAATCGTTCCATATTGGTTATGTTACAAAAATACCGTCACGTGTGCTATTGAACTTAAAATAAAAGTACTAGTATAGTCTGTATAGTACTAGTATAGTACCAGTATATGAAAAAACATCAAATCAGAGCATTTTATTTAGATTTCTTTCAGATAATATCTACCGTTCCGTCTTACCCCACCTGTTCCGTCTTACCCCACGCCTGGTAAAGTTGACCCTGTTGACACGGGAGACGGTTTTGATATGAAATTGTCTGTATAGATAAATTAAATTAATGTTAAAATCATTTTCAGTAGCTCTGCATTGCAAAATAGTATAAACATTTTCAAGGAAACCAATGTTTAATGAACAGTAGCCTATCAAAGATAGGTGTAGATTTTCGTTCCGTCTTACCCCACTCTCCCCTACAGTGTTGCGAGAGTATCCAGATTTACTGTCATCTCGTTTGTATTTAATGTAGTTTATCGCAGCAAAAGTGGTGTCCCTGATTAGGCCTAGTGATTTGGAAAATACATTTTTCATTTTTGTACGAATAAAATATGAGAGAATACGACACTTTTGACATTAATTTGGTCAATTAGAGTAGATATTCACGTAGAGAATTAACGCTCTCTAATATAATATGTCGCCCAACCCTCATGCCATTTTGTGAAATTCTTGTCCTACTTATCATTTACCATATGTAACCTGGAACCGCTTTTTATTTTTTCTTTCCCGAGACGTAAAATTACAACAATTTCCCAGAACGAAGTATTGTTGAGTTTACGTTCCCGTCAAGTACATGCAAATGTTTACTTTTGCAAAATTCAAATATATTAAGTAGTACACAATGACACTACACAGAAAGAGGAAATTTTCGTTTTTATCGTAAAATTCCTCCATCTAGTAAAAGTGGATTCCCCTTCCGAAAAGTGCTGAAATATTCCCGATGTAGAACAAAAAAAACTCTTCGTTCTACTGATAAACCTGTACAATTATTGGTGATTCAACTGCTTAAAATAATCCTAAAATATAATACTCAGGAATGTAGCGAGGTAGGTATTTCAAATGTGCAATGCGTAGTATTTTCTTTAACTTTGTTGAAACCTTGACTGACCAATGGTTCGTGCGTACGACCACAACGTAAGTGGGGTCATAGCATACGATAAGTACGGCGAACATTTAAAGATAACAAATATTACTTATCAAAATGGTGACAGTCACGGTGACACCCATCCGGGATACTGTATTCTTCATAATGTAAATCAGACCGTTACACAACCGTGTTAACTCTAATCATTAATAATGTGTAAATCAGACCGTTACAATAATAATTCACGTTTTGTGCTAAAACTTCTTTGACTCCAGCTGACTACAAACGTATAATGTTCTTCCTTTGTATCTATAGATTGCTGTATGATAATATATTTGGTGGAGTGATGGCCATTCAACCTGAAAACTTTGTCAAGATTAACGGCTTTTCAAACCTCTTTTTTGGTTGGGGTGGAGAGGATGACGATATGTACAAAAGGTAAGAAGCATAACATTTTTCTACAATTACAAGCATTAGAAACGATTTGTATTTTAGAGAGGAGGTGCTTTTCAAAGATGTCGAATTAGTTTCGGATGTTGCAATTTATTGTTTTTTTACAAAGGTATAGATAAAGGTGAAACAACAACGTCTGCTCATAAATCTTCGCATGATTTTCTGAGTATAGGAATTATGAATTTTTCGAGGTCATCGAAAGATTCGGGATTGTAACGATATTCTGGCTTTGATGGTATCGCTGCAAATTCTTTATCTTTTAATTCCTTGAGTTTATCCAATTCGGCCTTTGGCAGCTTTTTACCGCTCTCATCTTCGCCAAGCTGTTCTTTATTGTTGGGAAGGTCAAGAAGAAAGACGGTAGGTGCACCTGTCTCTGGATCGTAACTCTTAGGCTTTTTCAATAGCTCTGCTTGCTCAATTGTTTCTTTTGACATGGAATGTGGATGAGAAACCCCATCACTAGCGACAATTACGACAGCCTGGAATTAAGTAGAACAATGAAAGAGGACTGGGTATGGTCGCTTTTAATGAGAGACAATTGGGACCCTGATTTTTACATGTAAGAAAATCTCGTAAATACAGGCTCGTAGGGGTTCAAGACCCCCGAACCCCTTGGATTTTTTGGGAAATTAAAATTTTCGTTTATATAGAAGGTTCAAGTTATCAAGGTGCAAAATTCTACAGGTATCCTTTTAGGGTTTGGAGGCGAAGTCTTACGAGTTGCACGAATATAACCGAGGAAAAGCCAGACTTCGCGTGGTAATGGTAATCTTGTTGCTACCGAATTGACAATTAAGTTGAAGGTCCACTCAGTCAAACACCCGGAATTCCATGACAAACAAACTTGTCTGAACCGGGAATCGAACCCGGGGCCAATTTATTGCGGTAACCTTGAATCTGCCACTTAGCCATAGCGGATGGACTTACCAATGTGAACTAATGATTAGCGTTCGGATTGATGTTGGCAAATATCCGATCGTAAAGTTGAAATATGTAAGGAACATTTGAGCAACTTAGGCGCAGGATTATCGTGTAAACTGCTCATGGAGTATGGGGAAGAAAAGCTATCAAATAAAGTGTCACGTATCCAACAATTCAGAGAAAACTCTCTCCTGCGAAACACACCTTGGAGTAATTATTTTATCTGGCGATTGGGCTATCTGTGGGGAGCTCAGCATTAGGATCTGTTGACTTAAAGTATCCAAATATCATTCCTTACCTTTTTACCCTTTCTCCGACCACCTTTAATAGATAAAAGTATTTCTCTGGCCTCCTGCAAGGCAAGCCACGTAGCTGTTCCTCTTTTCGGATTCATTTCCATATTCGAAGCGGCCCTCACCATCTTCAAAATAATTGATTAAATGAGATAGTGTTATGGTAATACCTGTACTCAAAAAATAAATATGAACTTTTATACAGAGGACATTATTTTTAAATGCAACTCCTATTAATGATGGACCAGTTGTAGTCCCGATTAAATGCTCGACTTTCTAGTAACTAATAATATCACCATAATAAGGATTTATGACGTGTGTGTGTGTGTGTGTGATCAAATGTGATCTCTGTGCGCGGTACAAGAAATATGTTCGGAAACAAGGAAATGGTGGTGCGCGATATAAGATTTCACGTTCGCGATATGAGATTCTTGGTTCGAGTGCAAGGAACGTAGTTCGCGGTATCAGAACTGATGGTCGCGTTGTTGGAAGTCTAGGAGGCCTGATATTGGTCAAAGGAAAGACCTTGGTGCCTAACACCCAAGTCACATTTCTTACGGCGACCGTACGGTCTATCCTTTCTGCGGTCAGTAAACATTTCTACGCTCGCCGTAGAATTTCTGCGGTCAGATACTTTTGCAATTTCTGTTGATAAACGTTAATGTTTGTTTTTATTTTATTTACATTAGTACAATTTATTAAAGTTATTTATAGTGCTAGGATATTATATGAAATAAAAAGTGTTGATAAAACATTGACCAATAGTAACTTAATCTTTTGTAATCAATATACGCTGCTTTGTTAGTGACCTTACATAAAACATTATACCTATTGCGTTGTGTTCAGAGCAAATATATATAACAGTACACCTGACCTGAAAACTGTCCCAAAACCAAGTACTAAATCAAAACACTACGGCAAACGCAAGTCAACGTAAGCCCGACGTGCGGCCACCGCGGGACAGTTCTGCGCTGGCAACGGCCTGTTGATTTCTAGAGGGACCGTACGGTCTATAATTTTTGCGGTCAGTAACATTTCTACGGTCGGATACTTTTGCAGTCACATTTCCTACGACAGCCGCATGGGGAATTTTGAATTTCTAACGTTAATGTTTGTTTTTATTTTATTTACATATGTTTAGTACAATTTATAAATGTGCTAGGATATAATATCAAATAAAAAATGTTGAAACAATGGTGAAACATTGACCAATAGTAACATAATCTTTTGTAATATACGTTCAGTGACCTTACATCAGACATTATACATTTTGCGTCTGTTCACAGCAAAGATATGACAGCAAACCTGACATGAAACACTGTTTCAAGGTACATACTAGTAACCTATCAAAACACTACGGCAGACGCAAGTCAAAATGTGTGGCCATCGTGGGACCGTTCTTCGGTCTGGCAACGGCCTGCTGATTTCAACGTGGACCGCAAATATTATAACTCCGGAAATTCAATGATTTAATTGATCTGCAGTTGACGTACGGCCGCAGTACGACAAATGTGACTGGGTTGTAAGATGTCAATCTTCTTTATATGTTAAAGAAGTATTTTAGAATCAAAGTCAATGTAAAACACTGTATTTGAAACATTTGAAATAAGGTGAATTGGATTGAAATTGAAAAAAAACTAGACTAACTTTCGTATTGCGCTAATACGAAATCAACGCGTTTTGGTATTGATACAAACTGGTGGTATGACATGCATGTAGAATGGACAAAATGTCTATCATACCTCTGTTCCCCTATTGTATGATGAAAGTTTAAGAAAATTGTGGACTTCAGCTCCATACGTTGATCCTGCCACCAGTGTAAATGCAGAGCCGAGCTGAAGACTTCTTATAATTTGTAATACAAAGGATCTTACTTTCATCTTGTCAACATCGCTAATTGATTTTGACATGTCAATTATAAAGACTAAATCAAGACCACACACTTGGACGTTCGTTTCGACTGAAATAGAAAAATTGTACATTTCAATGTATGAAAAGTGTATCAATTCAAAAAAGGTCAACCGTCCCTATTCAAATGTTATTAAATCACGTTTAAAAATTGTTCAGTTTTGTTTACTTAAGTTTTTTATTTTAAGAAATACATAGTTTGAAATGCTGGTAGTATATACCATCTATCTATTTCACATATATATCGTGTTTTTCATCCTGGCCCCCAGGGTGAAATTTACGTTTTATTATGTCCATATGATTTGTATCCTCCAACACATGCTAAACACATTTAATTTACTAAAAAACTAGATATAATTGAGAATTTATGTAGCAGTCATTAGTTATATTTCTCAAAATAATTATTCGAAATCGTATTGGTGCATAGCTGAAATCTTAATGTTCGGAGGATACAAATATTGGACAGTAAAACCTAGATTCACTACAAAAATAACAATATTTTGGCTGATGTTTTCGTTGTCTGTCATTTAAAAAATTATTCCCAGGGAAACTTTCTTGCGAAGATTTCAAAAGATTATGCAGCAACAACATATCAACAATGTTAACTTTACCAGAGTTTTGGAGGATACAAATAATATGGACATAATAAAACGTATTCTGTTTTATGAGCATCACTGGTGATCCGCTCGATTACGCTGGTTACCGAAATGGTTCGTTTTGGTAACAAATGTCTTTTTTCATTATTTCACGCGTTGTAAACTGAATCCCAACGATGTTTTTTCTCACAAACGTGTATCAGCATCATATGTTTTAGAAAATGTACATGTTTGCGAAAAAATAGCTCAGAAGACAACAGAATCATCGATTTAATTCCTCACTTAAGGTACATAATCGGTTTGGGTTAAAAGTGCAGATCTTAACTTAAGTGAGGAATTAAATCGACGATTCTGTTGTCTTCTGAACTGTTTGTTCGCAAATATGTACATTTTCTTAAACATATGATACCGATACACGTTTGTGTAAAAAACATCGTGGGAATTCTGCCTACAACGTGTGAAATAAGAAAAAAGAAAAATCGTACCTTCGATGTTCCGACATTTTGTTAATAAAACGAACCGTTTCGGTAACCAGCGTAATCGAGTGGATCACCAGTGAGCATGAAATATCAAACAATCCCCTTTTGAGAGCCGGTTGCAAACATATATTTTTTGTTTTTATTCTAATAGCAAGATGGAAATTATTGAAGCACATGACATGGTGCAGGCTTTGCTAGAATAACAGAATTGTACACATTCATGAATATATTATAGTGTTCCTTGGAATTTTCTAACCCGTGGAGTTGCCGATGTTTAGTTTAATTAGCTCAACGATTTTGAACTAAAATACGTTAAATGTTGAAAACCGATAACGGAATTTGGACATGTCTGGAATCATGGGCCTCTAGTAAACTGAAGCCAAATAAGGTCATATTTTGAGATCAACGTTGATTGCGTTATTTTTAGTTCTTGCATCTTACCCACGCCCTTTTCTTCTAATGTTTTTCTACATTCTGCAGCAAAGCGGGAACAGGGATATCGCATGGAAGTATCTATTCTTCTAAAACTTTCGGTCACACCTTTTCCATCTTCACAGTGGGCAAGCTCGTATATATTTTCCTTGCACACTAAATAATTGCAGGATGAGTTTGCATATTTGTACTTGGAACCAGGCGTGCACTCTGGAGAAAAACAAGCATTTTTATTCGTTGATACTAATTGTATATGTTAAATTTTACTGTTTTCATTCAATCATTTGGGTCTTCTTAAAAAGTAACTCTATTGATAACATTAGAGAGTATGAGCGATTGGTCATACGTATAGG